TGTAGCTGCAGTGTCAGCTTTCCACTGAAAGTTGAATCACTCGATTCCGTAGCTAAACGAGTGACTATGGCGTTTGGCGCACTGGGGGGTCTTGCCCTAGGAGAAAGTTGACAGTCCTCAGAGTCACTATGATTGAAGCTTACAAGTTCAGAGGCATGATGGAAAAGGCATTGAAGCATAGTTGGAAGGTGGGGTAGGAAGGGAAGGATGAAAGGGAAGGACCCTGGAGGCCCATGGTCAAGAACATGACAAGAGTCAAAGTTTTGACTCCCCATCCTCAGGTTCAGCCAGCCTGGCAAGACAAAATTTCACACTGTGCCAGGTTGGCCTCCAAACCCCAAATGCTGCAGCTGCAAGGTGGGGACAAAAGTCCCACACATGCTGGTCCCTCCTCGTTATAGGGCTCTCCAACTTTGGTGTAGCAGCTGACAAGGACTTCCAATGAGTTGTAACAAATCCATCAAACATTTCTTCGTAACTTCTTCATATGTGCTCCGATTCCAACAATTCTTGGCTCGTTGGAATGTGCTCGATGTCATGCACAATCCAAGCACATCTGCACAAGCACAAGATGAACATGCAAAGACATGCAAACCCAACAAACCATACAAACAACGTAGCACACAAAACACATGCAACGAAATGATGCGAACAGACGACAGGATGACGTGCAAACGAATATGCACCAACACACTCCCCCTCAGACTGTCGGCTTGTTTCGCCGTCTCTAGTTCAAGGACATTCCCGCCATCCTCGCACAGCGCCAGTGTGGCTCTTCAGCTAGCCGCTTGGTAAGGAAGTCGGCTGGCTGTTGCTGAGTTTTCACGTAGATCGGATCCAGTGTCCCAAGCTTCACCTCCTTCCGCAGCCAATGCCACATGATCCTCATGTGCTTGTTCAACCCATGAAGAACTGCATTGCGTGCCATGGCAATGGCTCCCTTGCTATCACTGACAGAGGTGTCGCACAATCTGTTCATGGCGATCTCCTTCAAGAGCCTCCTTAGCAGATGATTTCCTTTTGCCGCATGAAACATCGCCATGTACTCAGATTCCACTGAAGATAGTGCCGTCTCAGACTGCTTCTTGGACCTCCAACTTACAGGCCACCTCCCACCATGCAGATGTATCCACCAACTGATGATGAATCCTCATGTCTCAGAAGCCCACTGTGGCATCAGCAAAACAGGAAAGGAACACCTTTCCTTCTCCAGCTGCTCCCCCTTCTCTTGAGGACTTCAATCCTTTTGACTGAGTTGAGCAGAGGCTGAATACTGTACTCCCACTGTAGGGTATGACTTGAGGTAGCGCACCACTCTCTTCGCTGCACCACACTGCTCTTCTGTTGGATTTTGCACTACTCGAGCCAGCTGTCCACAGCAAAGCTGATGTCAGGCCGAGTATGCACAGCAGCGTAGAGTAGGTCCCGACCATGGATTGGAATTGCCTCTGGTCTTCACTCTCAACTCCTTCTCCTTCAGCTGCCTTTATGAGTTTGAACTCGGAAGGCCAAAGGTGTGACCACTTCCCGTTCTTCCTGCAGAGAGTACTTCTCAGCCAAGGTGTTGATGTACTGTCCCTGATGCAGTTTGAGCCAGCCACGTTCAGTATCCCCGCTCAATATGCATTCCCAGGTAGTACCTTGCCTCTCTAAGTGACTTGCACTTGAACTGCTCTGTGAGCTTCCGCTGCACCCCATCGATCTCCTGTCACTGCTGCTGAAGAGCAGGAGTCATCCACGTACACCAGCAGAAGCACAAGCGACTCCCCCTCGCTCATCAGGAATAGGCTCTCGTCGCATGCCACTCGCACGGAATCCAATCCCTTCCAGTGCACTGGCCAGCCTGTTGTACCAGCATCTCGGGGCCTGCTTCAAGCCATAGATGGCCTTGTTAATTGCAGACCGACGACCCGGTTCCATCCTCATAGCCAGGTGGTTGAACCATGTATACTCCTCTTCCACAATGCCATACAGAAAAGCGGTTACGATGTCCATCTGCTTCACCTTCCATTTGCGCACAGCAGCTACCGCCAGCAGCACACGTAGCGTTGGAGACTTAGCAGTTGGGGCAAACACTTCTTTGTAATCTTCCTTCGCTTTCTGCTGAAACCCCTTTGCCACCAGCCTGCCTCTTAGTATAACTGATTGGGCTATCCCTTTCCATCGTCTATGATTATTTGCCAGCCACATTGCACTGTATTGCCTTTCTTCCCCATTTTTGGCAAGTACACCAGGTCCCCATGTGTGATTCCTCCCATCTTGGCTTTTGTTGTACTCTGCATCTCTTTGAAAACGAGCCACTTCCCCCCCGTTGAGGCCCCGGCTAGCGCATGTATCCTTATGCCTTCGGAGGTTGTATTGGGTGCGTAAAAGCAGTATGCAGGCTCCTTTGTCATCTGACTCTCTTGGTCATCACCCAAGAACAGCACTGCATCTTCGCCTTGAGCCTGTTCCTGCTGCTCAGTTGTGGCTCCCTCCACTTGTGGAGCTCAACAGCTTTCTCATTGCCATTCTGGTACGTGCAGGGTAGATGGTTGGATTTACCCATTCTTTCACCTTCACCCAATCCTTTGTCCCCCCACCAATCTGTTTCCTTCGCTTTGACAGACTTGGTGTTTTGGGAAGCCTCTTGCTGCTGCTGCTCCGGATCCTTGACTTCAGCATCAGCTGCAATATCCTCCATTGCTTCCTTCATCAGTACCTGTTGCCGTTGGCGCAGTGACTTCGCTGTCCTCAGGTTCGGACAGATCGAAGTGCATAGTGATCTCTTCCAGCTGCTGGGTGACCCTTTGCCTCCGGCTGCTTCTCCCACTTGCCATACATGATGTTCTCCCACAAATTTGACATCCCGACTATCAAACAGCACATTCTTTGAGGGCTCCCAGAGTAGCCACCCCTTGCTCTCTGCCGCAAGCCCAAGGTGCACACACCAAAGTGCAGATGCTCCAAGCTTTGTCCTGTACGGTTTAGGGACATGCGCCATGCCATGCATCCGAACACTCGAAGCATGTCCACTGGAGGCTTCTTTCCAAGCCACCTCTCCAGCGGCACCCACATATCATCAGCCACCTTTGTGAGTACGCGGTTCCTTGCCACTGTAGCATGCCTCACCGCATGAGGCCACATGGAGTTCCCAGCCCTGATTCGATCAGCAGCGCTCGCGCAGTTTCCCAGGATGGTCCTATTAGCCCTCTCAGCAACGCCATTTGACTGAGGGTATAGGACGTCGTTAGCTGATGCTCAATGCCTTGTTTCTTGAGCCACGCAGTCAGATCTCCTCCTAGAAACTCTCCACCTCGGTCGGTCTGATGCTCTTGCATGGGTGCCCAGATTGTCGCTCGACGAACGGCAGCCAATCATCTCGTATTGTTGAGGCAGCATGATCCTTCTGCTTCAACGGGTATGCCCACATCAGCCGACTCCAGTCATCAACTATTGTCAGGAAGTACCTTTCCCCTTACTTCCTCGGACTGGAAAAAGGTCCTACGAGGTCCAATGTGCACCAGTTCCAGTGCTGCCTTGCTTTTCCCAGCTACGCCGTGAAAGGGGAACCGTGTGAACTTGCTCAGCAGACACGTCCCTCGCACTTGGTAGCATTTGGTTGCCCCAGAAAGCTTGAGCCCCTTTACTGCTTCTTCCTTATGCAGTTGCCTGCAGCAATGGCATAGCCACATGCCCCTAGACGCCTGTGTGCGGTTTCCCCAATCAGTCTCCCCCGACCTTGCAGAACCGTCCACTCCTGCAGCACTAACTGCATTACACTCCCCTGGACTCCAGAACCCGCCTTTACTTCTCCCAACTCCTTCTTTGTTGATTCCCATATCAGTGCAGGGATCTGCCACATGGATCTGAAGACATCTCTGCTTTCGTGTAAATCCCATAACACACGATCTCCTCGCAGCCCCTTGAATGTTTTGGATCCATTGGTGGTGGTGCTGACTCCGGCCTGGCCTAGCTTGCGCAGCGATATCAGGTTGGCCTTCAGCCCCGGTACGAGTAACACATCCTTCAGCACAACCAGTCCACCATCAGGTGCTCTGAATGCAGCTCGACCAACTCCAGCCGACCTTCACTGCATGTCCGGATGCTGAGCGCACTTCAGAGATTGGAGGCGCTCGCACAGCATCCAGCAAGTCCTTGCGTGGTGTCATTGTCCATGCAGCACCAGAGTCCATGACCCACATGTCAAGCGGGTGCAATTCCTCTCCAGCCCTTGCAACAGCTGTGCCACTGTCATCTTTGTCACACACATGGTAGAACTGTCCAGCATTCCTCTCCTCATTTCGCATTCCTCTGTCATCCTTGGAGGTTTCTTCAGCAGGATCAGCTACCATGTTGGCACCTCCATGTGGTTGTTTCCTCCATTCCCCTTCTCCGATTGGTTCCAAGGGGTCCACCAGTCGGGCTTGGTAGGGCAGCGAAACCATGGATGCCCTTCTTCCTTGCAATACCAGCACTCTCCCCTCAAGCGTGGTTCACTGTTGTCATGTTGGAGTGACCACCTCTTCCTCTTGCACAGCGCCACCACGCCCCCGCTGGTTCCAAGTCCCGCGACCACCTTGGCTGTGGTAAGAGCGACCGCGATTGCCACGCCCTCGATCCCTCCATGTCCCTTGCATGGCATAGCCGCTGGTGCTGTCATCACCTCCGCGCAGTGTATAGCGACGAAAATCTTCTTCCAGAATCTTGGTGCGAATCCACTCCAATGTCCATTGACTTTGGTTTTGTGGCAAGCTGAGTCCGCTTATAAATTGCAGCCAAGACTCCGGCAGCAGGCTGAGCATCTTGAGACACTTTGTCTGCTCTGGGTACGTGATGCCTGCAATCGCCAATTTCGCGTAGAGTTCCCTCATCTTGTCCAGTACGGGCTGCACAGCTTCATTCTCGTCAACCGCAGCATGGACAGCTCCCGATCCAGCATGAGAGAAGCGGCAACCGATGTCGGAGCGTGCAGGTCCTTGAGCACTGCCCATGCCTTGGGCCCACAATCAATTTCCGGTAGCAGATGCATGATGTGATGCCTCTGGTTCAGCTCCAAGCTTTGTGACAGTAGATAGTACCCAGCAGATGAACGTTCATCCCAGTCCGCTTGCTCTGCCATTTCCTTTGGCCTTGGGCTCCGTTCCAATCATGAGCTTCAAGAGGCCAATTTGTCGAAAGTAGAGCTGCATCTTCCATGCCCAATCATCATAGCCATCTCCAGAGAACTTCTCAATGGTGAAGTTCTTCAGCACCTCCTTAAGCAGTGACCCCTGGCTTGTACGCGCTCCCCTTTGCGCTGCAATGCCAGAATCTTGGGTTGAGCTGCCTCCTTGGACTGAAGTATCACCTCCACCAGAGTCCTCTTTATCTCCCATCGTATTTTAGGTCCCAAATGCGTGATAATAGGCTCTGATACCACTTGTTGGTTAGAGAAGGCTATAAGCAGATGATTCAATGGCTCCTTGGAAATTTCTGCAGCACTTCGTTATGACGCCCAGAAAACTCGCGACCTTCGAATAGCTATATCAAAAACTCCAATCGGTGAAACGATCTGAAAATCGGATATGTTGTAGCTGGCAGTGTCAGCTTTCCACTGAAAGTTGAATCACTCGATTCCGTAGCTAAACGAGTGAGCTATGGCGTTTGGCGCACTGGGGGTAATCTGCCCTAGGAGAAGTTGACAGTCCTCAGAGTCACTATGATTGAAGCTTACAAGTTCAGAGACATGATGGAAAAGGCATTGAAGCATAGTTGGAAGGTGGGGTAGGAAGTGAAGGATGAAAGGGAAGGACCCTGGAGGCCCATGGTCAAGAACATGACAAGAGTCAAAGTTTTGACTCCCCATCCTCAGGTTCAGCCAGCCTGGCAAGACAAATTTCACACTGTGCCAGGTTGGCCTCCAAACCCCAAATGCTGCAGCTGCAAGGTGGGGACAAAGTCCCACACATGCTGGTCCCTCCTCGTTATAGGGCTCTCCAGCTTTGGTGTAGCAGCTGACAAGGACTTCCAATGAGTTGTAACAAATCCATCAAACATTTCTTCGTAACTTCTTCATATGTGCTCCGATTCCAACAATTCTTGGCTCGTTGGAATGTGCTCGATGTCATGCACAATCCAAGCACATCTGCACAAGCACAAGATGAACATGCAAAGACATGCAAACCCAACAAACCATACAAACAACGTAGCACACAAAACACATGCAACGAAATGATGCGAACAGACGACAGGATGACGTGCAAACGAATATGCACCAACAACACCAAAGTTGGAGAGCCCTAAAACGAGGAGGGACCAGCATGTGTGGGACTTTTGTCCCCACCTTGCAGCTGCAGCACTTGGGGTTTGGAGACCAACCTGACACAGTGTGAATTTTGTCTTGCCAGGCTGGCTGAACCTGAGGATGGGGAGTCAAGACTTTGACTCTTGTCATGTTCTTGACCAAGGGCCTCCAGGGTCCTTCCCTTTCATCCTTCCCTTCCCACCCCACCTTCCAACTATGCTTCAATGCCTTTTCCATCATGTCTCTGAACTTGTAAGCTTCAATCATAGTGACTCTGAGGACTGTCAACTTCTCCTAGGGCAGATTACCCCCCAGTGCGCCAAACGCTATAGCTCACTCGATAAGCTACGGAATCGAGTGATTCAACTTTCAGTAGAAAGCTGACGCTGCAAGCTACAACATATCCGATTTTCATATCGTTTCATCGATTGGAGTTTTGGATATAGCTTTTCGAAGGTCGCAAGTTTTCTGGGCGTCATAACGAAGTGCTGCAGAAATTTCCAAGGAGCCATTGAATCATCTGCTTATAGCCTTCTCTAACCAACAAGTGGTATCAGAGCCCATTATCACGCATTTGGGACCTAAATTACGATGGGAGATAAGGAGGACTCTGGTGGAGGTGATACTTCAGTCCAAGGAGGCAGCTCAACCCAAGATTCTGGCATTGCAGCGCAACGGGGAGCGCGTACAAGCCAGGGGTCACTGCTTAAGGAGGTGCTGAAGAGCTTCACCATTGAGAAGTTCTCTGGAGATGGCTATGATGATTGGGCATGGAAGATGCAGCTCTACTTTCGACAAATTGGCCTCTTGAAGCTCATGATTGGAACGGAGCCCAGGCCAAAGGAAATGGCAGAGCAAGCGGACTGGGATGAACGTTCATCTGCTGGGTATTATCTACTGTCACAAAGCTTGGAGCTGAACCAGAGGCATCACATCATGCATCTGCTACCGGAAACTGATTGTGGGCCCAAGGCATGGGCAGTGCTCAAGGACCTGCACGCTCCGACATCGGTTGCCGCTTCTCTCATGCTGGATCGGGAGCTGTCCATGCTGCGGTTGAGCGAGAATGAACCTGTGCAGCCCGTTCTGGACAAGATGAGGGAACTCTACGCGAAATTGGCGATTGCGGCATCACGTACCCTGAGCAGACTAAGTGTCTCAAGATGCTCAGCCTGCTGCCGGAGTCTTGGCTGCAATTTATAAGCGGACTCAGCTTGCCACAAAACCAAAGTCAATGGACATTGGAGTGGATTCGCACCAAGATTCTGGAAGAAGATTTTCGTCGCTACACACTGCGCGGAGGTGATGACAGCACCAGCGGCTATGCCATGCAAGGGACATGGAGGGATCGAGGGCGTGGCAATCGCGGTCGCTCTTACTACAGCCAAGGTGGTCGCGGGACTTGGAACCAGCGGGGGCGTGGTGGCGCTGGTGCAAGAGGAAGAGGTGGTCACTCCAACAATGACAACAGTGAACCACGCTTGAGGGGAGAGTGCTGGTATTGCAAGGAAGAAGGGCATCCATGGTTTCGCTGCTCTACCAAGCCCGACTGGTGGACCCCTTGGAACCAATCGCAAAAGGGGAATGGAGGAAAGCAACCACGTGGAGGTGCCAACATGGTAGCTGATCCTGCTGAAGAAACCTCCAAGGATGACAGAGGAATGGGAAATGAGGAGAGGAATGCTGGACAGTTCTACCATGTGTGTGACAAAGATGACAGTGGCACAGCTGTTGCAAGGGCTGGAGAGGAATTGCACCCGCTTGACATGTGGGTCATGGACTCTGGTGCTGCATGGACAATGACACCACGCAAGGATTTGCTGGATGCTGTGCGAGCGCCTCCAATCTCTGAAGTGCGCTCAGCATCCGGACATGCAGTGAAGGTCGCTGGAGTTGGTCGAGCTGCATTCAGAGCACCTGATGGTGGACTGGTTGTGCTGAAGGATGTGTTACTCGTACCGGGGCTGAAGGCCAATCTGATATCGCTGCGCAAGCTAGGCCAGGCCGGAGTCAGCACCACCACCAATGGATCCAAAACATTCAAGGGGCTGCGAGGAGATCGTGTGTTATGGGATTTACACGAAAGCAGGGATGTCTTCAGATCCATGTGGCAGATCCCTGCGCTGATATGGGAATCAACAAAGAAGGAGCTGGGAGTAGTAAAGGCGGGATCTGGAGTCCAGGGGGAGTGCAATGCAGTTAGTGCTGCAGGAGTGATGGTTTCTGCAAGGTCGGGGGAGACTGATTGGGAAACCGCACACAGGCGTCTAGGGCATGTGGCTATGCCATTGCTGCAGCAACTGCATAAGGAAGAAGCAGTAAAGGGGCTGAAGCTTTCTGGGCAACCAAATGATACCAAGTGCGAGACGTGTCTGCTGAGCAAGTTCACACGGTTCCCCTTTCACGGCGTAGCTGGGCAGCACTGGAACTGGTGCACATGGACCTGGTAGGACCTTTTCCAGTTCAAGGAAGAAAGGGGGAAAGATACTTCCTAACAATAGTTGATGACTGGAGCCGGCTGATGTGGGCATACCCGTTGAAGCAGAAGGATCATGCTGCCTCAATAATACGAGATGACTGGCTGCCACTCGTCGAGCGACAATCTGGGCACCCATGCAAGAGCATCAGAACCGACCGAGGTGGAGAGTTTCTAGGAGGAGATCTGACTGCGTGGCTCAAGAAACAAGGCATTGAGCATCAGCTAACGACGTCCTATACCCCTCAGTCAAATGGCGTTGCTGAGAGGGCTAATAGGACCATCCTGGAAACTGCGCGAGCGCTGCTGATCGAATCAGGGCTGGGGAACTCCATGTGGCCTCACGCGGTGAGGCATGCTACAGTGGCAAGGAACCGCGTACTCACAAAGGTAGCTGATGATATGTGGGTGCCGCTGGAGAGGTGGCTTGGAAAGAAGCCTCCAGTGGACATGCTCAGAGTGTTCGGATGCATGGCAGTGGCACATGTCAAGCGGGTGCAATTCCTCTCCAGCCCTTGCAACAGCTGTGCCACTGTCATCTTTGTCACACACATGGTAGAACTGTCCAGCATTCCTCTCCTCATTTCCCATTCCTCTGTCATCCTTGGAGGTTTCTTCAGCAGGATCAGCTACCATGTTGGCACCTCCATGTGGTTGCTTTCCTCCATTCCCCTTCTGCGATTGGTTCCAAGGGGTCCACCAGTCGGGCTTGGTAGGGCAGCGAAACCATGGATGCCCTTCTTCCTTGCAATACCAGCACTCTCCCCTCAAGCGTGGTTCACTGTTGTCATTGTTGGAGTGACCACCTCTTCCTCTTGCACCAGCGCCACCACGCCCCCGCTGGTTCCAAGTCCCGCGACCACCTTGGCTGTGGTAAGAGCGACCGCGATTGCCACGCCCTCGATCCCTCCATGTCCCTTGCATGGCATAGCCGCTGGTGCTGTCATCACCTCCGCGCAGTGTATAGCGACGAAAATCTTCTTCCAGAATCTTGGTGCGAATCCACTCCAATGTCCATTGACTTTGGTTTTGTGGCAAGCTGAGTCCGCTTATAAATTGCAGCCAAGACTCCGGCAGCAGGCTGAGCATCTTGAGACACTTTGTCTGCTCTGGGTACGTGATGCCTGCAATCGCCAATTTCGCGTAGAGTTCCCTCATCTTGTCCAGTACGGGCTGCACAGGTTCATTCTCGCTCAACCGCAGCATGGACAGCTCCCGATCCAGCATGAGAGAAGCGGCAACCGATGTCGGAGCGTGCAGGTCCTTGAGCACTGCCCATGCCTTGGGCCCACAATCAATTTCCGGTAGCAGATGCATGATGTGATGCCTCTGGTTCAGCTCCAAGCTTTGTGACAGTAGATAATACCCAGCAGATGAACGTTCATCCCAGTCCGCTTGCTCTGCCATTTCCTTTGGCCTTGGCTCCGTTCCAATCATGAGCTTCAAGAGGACAATTTGTCGAAAGTAGAGCTGCATCTTCCATGCCCAATCATCATAGCCATCTCCAGAGAACTTCTCAATGGTGAAGTTCTTCAGCACCTCCTTAAGCAGTGACCCCTGGCTTGTACGCGCTCCCCTTTGTTGGTGCATATTCGTTTGCACGTCATCCTGTCGTCTGTTCGCATCATTTCGTTGCATGCGTTTTGTGTGCTACGTTGTTTGTGTGGTTTGTTGGGTTTGCATGTCTTTGCATATTCATCTTGTGCTTGTGCAGATGTGCTTGGATTGTACATCAGATCGAGCGCATTCCAACGAGCCAAGAATTGTTGGAATCGGAGCACATATGAAGAAGTTACCAAGAAATGTTTGATGGATTTGTTACAACTCATTGGAAGTCCTTGGCAGCTGCTACACCAAAGTTGGAGAGCCCTAAAACGAGGAGGGACCAGCATGTGTGGGACTTTTGTCCCCACCTTGCAGCTGCAGCACTTGGGGTTTGGAGACCA